ATCGTATCTCTTTTATTGATGCTGCGTACAGTTTTGTTGTTACCTGTGCATCGTGTTCCTTTGAAGTGACACTGCAACGCACAATGACTTATTGTGCCAACAAGCCGCACCTTAGGAATAAGGTGAAACATTTGACAGATTTTCTTTCTTTTATGGAATAAGGGTGACAAACGAGCACACAGTCCACCTGATGGTAAGTGGATGCTGTGGCCCATAGACACCTACATTTATCCTCTATTAAGAATCAAACCGCAGATGCGTTGTCACCCCTCAGGACTAAAATGAAATGTCTCGTTTCCAGTAAAAAAGAGTCTCCGGATCTCTATACTACACCATACGAAACACAACAGTATTAAGCTGCTATTTTACGCTAGTATTCTGTGATAGCGTGGTCCTTCTTCGATCGAGCTGACTCTTTGGTGCTATAACCATAATATAGCTGCAGCGTGGCTCTGCCACGTAATATGTACACTAAATTTCATAGCAGAGGAAGTGAATGTGTTAAAAAAGTGTAAAGATTAAAGTTTCCTTCTGAAACGAAAGAAATATTAGTTATTTTACATTAATTAGATTACAAATGGATAAACCAAATTACAAATATTCCATAAGAAGAATAATTGAAAAAAAAAGTTTAAAGTGTGTAAAAAATTAAAGAATACGGCGCTGAGCCACCTTTTCATTGATGATGACACTGTGCCCTGTATAGTATATTAACTATGGTGTCATGTCACACACAGTATCGACCATCTGCGTAACAAACAAGTCCGAATACAATCTGGGCGTCTTCAAGGCAAGAGTGAATAGGCTTTTGTTACGCTAAAACAGTGCAATTTACCGTCTAGGGCTGCATCACCACTTACCATCAGGTGGGATTGTGGTCAAGTACTGGCTTATAAAAAGTAAAAAAAAACCTCAGTGTCAACTAGCGACATCTTGTGATCGTAAGATTTTTAGCCCTAATTAATTAAAAATAATACCCACTAATGCACTGCATTGATGTCGTGGCCGGGTTTGTAACTTTAAAATCAGGTGACATATTCATTCTGTATATTTAAAAATACACGTTTCTTTGTTTGTCCCGTGTATGTTCGTACACCATTTATCCAATTACGATGAAACTGATGAATTGTTCCTGGGAAGGACCACGCTCTCACACAATACTAATATGATATAGCAGCTCAATGATGCAGTGTTTCGTATGGTGAGTGTAGAGAACCGGAAACCCTTTTAACTAAAAACTTGGCATTCCATATTAGACCACAGAGGTGACAACGCATCCGCATTTTGATTATTAATCGAAGATAGCTGTAGATGTATGGACCACAGCAACCACTTACCATCAGATAGACTGTGCGCTTGTCACTTTTAATCTTTAAAAAGTTATAAATAGTTGTGTTTACTAGTACACACACTCGGCCACCAACCGTGCCGGTGCTAACTTCGTCTATGGTTAAGATGCCCAGCTGCCGGCGACCGCACAGTGCTATATCACGTTACTTGCAATAAATATTCTAAGTAGGACTGAATCATCATTATAAAACAAGCGCTAATGATGTATATTATATGTTTTCTAATTAAAAACTATGTAGCGTTAACAGGTTCCCTGTCCGCGAAATAGACACAATAGTTAAATAATCGAAATGTTCATATATGATGCATGGGACAGGGATTAAGGAGCTTTACTCAATTTTTCTCGACGTGTCACAGTCACAGTGACTTAATAGATAAAGCACGAGTATTAATGGTATCTTATAAATTGAGCAGCGTTTGGGTATTTGGGCATTAGGGTGATAAACAAGCATACAGCTCACCAGCATCCACTTACCATCGGTAAGTGGATGCTGTAGATTGTTGACGTTATCCTCTATTTTTTTATAGAATAAGGGTGACAAACGAGCTCGCAGTCCACCTGACGGTAGCTGGATGCTCTGCGAGATGTGTATGGATCTACATTTATTTTCGAATAAGAATCAAAATGCAAATTCGATGTCATCCTGGGTGATACTAACTAAGATGAAATGCCTCGTTTCCAAAAAAAAAAAAACGAGTGTGCTTATGACCACACGACTGAAGTAAAACTTCTTTAGCTATGTTTATATATGCATATATGTATAATATATTATAACATAATATTAATTCATAAAATAGTTCAAAACGAAATAAAATTACGAAAAATATCTGGCTAAGTGCGCGCGCACTGCTCTCTCTTACTTATATCACCCACTCAACTCCCGTTCGCCTCGCTCGATCACAACTTTTGTAACACTTTCGTCACGCGTGCGCCAGCTTACTCCCCAAGTCAGGCGTGCGTAAAGAAGTTTTACCTCAATAAGTGCCTCCCGTTCTTTACACTCATCATACGAAACACAGAAGCATTAGCTGCAAAACGTCTAGTGCAATGTTTGTCTATAAGCCTGCTGAGAGTAACGATTAAGACTAATTTTCTCTGGCGGGAGAGATTCTCGTTCAGCAGTTGACCTTAACATGCTGACTAACAAGATTGTAGGTCTCCTGTTCTGTCCAGGATTCCTTCTGGCAAGATCCAACTCTCTTACTTTCTACCAAAAAACAACTGCAATTCCCCTGGTGTTGCGGTTGTTCATGGGCGGCGGTAGTCACTCACCATCAGGTGAGCCGCATGCTCGTTTGCCTCCTCTCCTATAAAAAAATAAATAAACTGTGTTTCGTTCTGAAGGTTATAGGGAGCCTATATGAGAAGGTCAGGCGATCCTTAAAAGTGACAACCTATCTGTAGCCTTCTTAAATTTCTTGCAGTTCATAGAACTTTACCCAGTATAATGAAACTGATAAAGATGAAACAAAGACAAAAAATATTATGAGCACTAAAAGAAGATTAATTCGTGCTTCGTACATCTCTGTTAATCAGCTGCAACCGCTAGTTCTGAGAACTCTACTTTTGCGCTACACCGAGTTGAGATAAGTTAGTTTGTTGGAAGTCTGGTCACGGTAATATTATCTATACAGTATTGTAACTCGGCCGTATCTTTCAAATAAATGCCTACAGCCGTGCGGCACGTAAACATGTGATAGGGCTACCTGCCTCCAGCATTTTTACATTTGCCTACTTTGTGTTTCCATTTAGTTTTATGATTGTAAATATACTTTTTATATAAAAAAATAAAATAGGTACGTTGTGAATTGAATAGGAAGTGTTCAACAAAAATGCGTGTCGTTTTTTGATTGGTAAATTTAATTATTTATGTTTGAATAACAAATCGGTTAAATAAATTTGCGAGCGAAAAATATTTGCACCTCGGCTGAGACTTACGAAATGCATGCACTTTATTATTAGATTTTTAAATATAAAATATCCGCTTTCTAATATAAAGCTAAAAATAATATAAATTAAAAATTGTTTTGGGAAACATGGACAACGTGGAGAAAAGGAATATCTTTTAATTGGTTATAGATACCTGCAGCTACTTTACAATTTATATGTTTGTTTTAAATGAAGTTCAGATTTATTATTTCTTTTTTCTATTCTATTATTTATTTCCTGCATTTTTTTATATATTTCACAAAATCATGACTGCGGCACAGTCTCGACTGTCTGCATGCCGAGCGCATGCCGAGATCGAGGCGCGTAGGCATAGCTCTCGCTTCGTCCGTTTGTACGAAGTTGGAATACTGTATAGATAATATTACCGTGGTCTGGTAGTTGGAAGATAAAAGTTTATTGGAAATTGATTTAGATAAAACTGACTTAATATATCGTGCTTTATCATCAATAACAGATGTACTTACTTACGTGTAATGGGATTTTTAATAAACTCTTATTTATAATATGTTTTTCTTTATAGAATGAAGGTGACAAACGAGCACACAGCCCACCTGATCGTAAGTGATATTCCATCTTAGTCCTCACGGCCGACAACACATCTGCATTTTGATTTGTAATCAAGGATAGATGTAGATGTCTATGGGCCACAGCAACCACTTACCATCAGGTGGACTGTGTGCTCGTTCGTCACCCTATCCTATAAAAAAGGTGGATAGTGGTTACTGTGGCCTTTAGACATTTACATCGATATTCGATTGAGATGCGTGTCACCCCTGAGGACAAAGATGGAATACCTCGTTTCCAGCAAAAAAGGTCGCCCGTTCTCTACACTCATCATACGAAACACAACAGCGTTGAGCTGCTATTTTACGCTGGTATTCTGTAAGAGCGTGGCCCTTCCCCGGTCTAGCCGACCCATTAGTGCTACACCCATGATATATCTGGCTGCCGCATAGCTCTACCACGTAATTGTCCATAAGTGCACTAGGCAAAGGTAACTCTGGCGTTCTAAGTAATTGATCGTTTAGTTAAATTTAACAACAATGCATTGGGATAGAATAAATGTTCCTGAAGTACTAAATCTATGTCCCTCGTTCACCTTTAGAAATCTGCGACCTTAACGGTCAAATTTATTAATCTTTCTAAGGGCTGGGTTTTCAATCGTCAATTTAGTTATCTATCGAATAAATTTAGAGCAAACAGTCTGTCTAACGGTAAGTTGCAGGTGTTATAGTGATATAGCAGTGCAGCTCACTGACACCTACATTCAACTGCAAACCAAAGAACTCTTCAAAGAGTTCTTTGGTTTGCAGTTGATATATGAATGATATATGACAGAACTGCACACACGCTCATGCATGTGTGCAGTTCTGTCATACATGTTAGAGCCACACTGCAGCTATATTATGACTCACGCTTTCGTAGAATACCAGCGAAAAATAACAGCTTATTGCTAATTTGTTTTATTTGTAAGCATAGAGAACCGAAGATCCTTTTTACTGGTAACGGACATTTTATCTTAGTCCTTAGAACTGAAATCATAAATACATTTTGATTCTTAATTGAGGATAAAAGCACGTGTCTATAGACCACATCATCCACTTACTATTAAATAGACTATGTGTCGGTTTGTGTCCTTTATTCTTAAAAAAATTGTAGTGGATAACAAAATGTTCAAGCTGTCCACTCTTGTTGCCAGTTGTCGAGCCTGCGTGACGACGTGTCGGCGGGCGAGGCGGATAAATGGCGGCAACGTCGGAACAACAGTTTCGACCAGAACCGCCAGCTCGAGGAGGTCACTAAAGAGAGGTAAGGCAAACGTTTTCACATACCTTATGTCAGGTATGATTAATTACTTTTGCAGTTCTGTCCGTGAAATAGACACAATAGTTAAACACTGGAAACGAGTTAATAAATATGACTCACAGGGTAGGGAAAGTATTAATTTCGCCAATTTTTACCGTAACTTTACCAAGTACGTTTTAGGGTAATTATGTATATGTTAAACAACTGTGGTAACACAAAATTGGGAACTATAAAAAACGTAATAAGCAACACTTCCCCTCTCTCACGACAAGTAAAAACCTATGTGTGTAATTAATCTCAATACCAAATCTTTATTTTATCATAATAATATAAATTACCATAAAAATCATATTATTCAACACGATGACAAACAAAAACTACTACTAGTATTCAGTTGAGTGCCCACTATCCATTAGTCCACTTCTGGACACGGGTTTCTCATGCTGTAAAAAAAGTTTTGTCGTGATCGCTACGGCAGCCGGATTGGAGATTGCATTGCGACATGTCTACCACTCTTCCACTCACCCTCCTCTTCACTTCCGTTAAAAATTATCGAAACTATTCTAATTTATATTTATAGTTTTCTATTAGCGTTAATAATTGTAGAAAGTGAATTTAAAACTTTTTCATGTACGAGTGAAGTCATCACGCTATTGCCAAAGTTAATGTGTTTGGGTCGCAGTAAAGAGTAAGATAGAATGAATTAATAAAAAGCATTCTGACCTGTATACTCTTCAAAACTGGAGATCACAGTGGACACACCGTTCACTGGCTAGACTAAAAGGAATACCTCATGGTCTGTAATGGCTCATAGAGATAACAGTGGACACACCGCTGGCTGGTTGTCCAGATGTCATTCGTGTCGTCCCATCGGATTATGTGAGTGAGGGAATAGAGAATGCACCTATGTTTGCGCATATATTAGTAAACTATAATCGTGTCCTGCGCATATGGCTAGTCTGCGTCGAGTCCTGCCGCCGTCACCGAAGTTGTTTGTGGAGGACATTACTATTATTGGTGCTTGTTGTGCGGTGTGCAGGGACGCGCTGCAGCGGCTGGCGGGCGCGCTGCAGCACGCGGTGTCGCAGCTGGTGGCGTACTGCGCCAGCGCAGAGGACGAGCTCAACCGCACCGTACTGGCCCACCTGCTGCCTACGCTGCAAGCGCAACAGTCAGTATATATGTTTCCTGCACTTATTACTGCATGCTTCACACTTTTCAGTGCTCCCTACCAATTTTAGCTGCATGAATGCGTATGGCTTCATCTATGTGTCTGGCTACTATAGATGTTTTCTTCTCGAAGTGTTTCACTATGCGTCGATTTTTCAATCATCAAATAAAAGTGAGGTATCCATTAAAATATTTTATAACCTAACTAAACAAAAAAAGTTAAAAATTATTTTATTTATACAATTGTCAATTTAAATTTATTTATGTTGGAGTTTATTCTATGTATAACTTTTATCTGACGATTCAAAAAAGAATCAGCCCTTACATGATTGAAATTCGGCAAAGTTAATACATAAAATACGGTAGTAAAAATACATAAATGAGGTAAGAGATACTAAATTGCTTGAAGGTTTTAGTTTTAGAATTTTAAATAATATTTTTTTAGATCATCATTAGTTAATTGTGCATACAATTTTTTAACTAACTTAATGTGTTTCTAACATTCAATGATAAAAAAACACTAGCAATAAACTTTAAACATAAAATTGAGTACATCATACCCGTATTATTTCATACTAATTAACTTAACTATTTGGGATTATTTCAATTCAATTAAAAGTTCCTCGGTGTTTAGTATACACAAAACAATGCCGCAGTGGTTACTATTTAATTTATTAAATATTTTTTAACTTTTTTTTATTGTCCACTGTAGTCCACGCGTAGTTAAGTTTATCCATTTTCTATCTAATTCATATGAAAAATGACCCATATTTCGGAAAGAAACATTAACTTTTATTTGTTAGGAATCGATGTTCTTTCGCGAGATTTTGTGGTCTATCTAATCTAATGTAATGGCGGAGGTACTGTCCAGGATTTGAAGTGACTAAGTAAACTATAACTTCTTTATGGAATGAATATTTCATCTCGCCGTAGCGCCGCCCTAGTAGCAGAAAAAGTTGTGGAAGTCCTCATTGAAATCAGTTGTGTTTTAAATACTTTAATTATAACTATTTATTTGTGTGTAGTTTCGAAATTCATTCAGTTGTACATTGTTGTAGTACGGACGGCGCCTGTCTCCGAAGCATATTGTTTGTCTCGAGACAGACAGACTAACACGATACTGGCAGCGAGCCACGCGATAGTATATTTTAAAGTTCTTTTGTTCTAACGACGCTGACAATTTGCATCGCGTGCACGACTAGAGCTGGATCTAGCTTTTATAACAAACTTTCAGAAGGAAGGGGTTCTTGATTGAATTGTGTTTTTTTTCTTTGTATGTAATGTTATGCGATATCTTCTGCAATTGTGAACGATTTAATGATTCATTTTTATTCGATACGTTATACGAGGGTGGATTGAAAAGTACTCGGCCTAACACAGATCCATTCAATTCTAAAAATCAAATCTACCCACATTATTTAGTTCAGTTCAGACTAGTTCATTGTGTGAAGTTCGAAACGTGTGCGATAGTTAGTTGTGATTTTATAAATTTATTAACAAAGTAATCGGACATAATTTCCGCGAATGGAGCAAATCGAGCAGCGTGCCGTCATTAAGTACCTCCATAAGAAGGGGCTATCATCAAAAGCCATCCATGATGACATGGTTAGTACATTAGGCGATTGTGCTCTGTCATATTCATCCGTCAAAAAATGGATAGCAGAATTTAAGCGTGGTAGAGAGAGTGTGAAAGATGAACCCCGCTCTGGAAGGCCTTCGAAAAATTAGAGAGATAGCCGAGATTATAGGCATCTCTTATAAACGAACTCAAAACATCATTGTCAACGAGTTGGGTTTCCACAAGGTGTCTGCGAGGTGGGTTCCGCGACTGCTTTCAGTTGAACAAAAAAGGACGCGATTGACTATTTCACGCCACTGTTTGGAGTTATTTGAAGCCGATGAAGATGATTTTTTGAATCGTTTTGTTACTATGAACGAAACATCGGTTCATTACTGTACAGAGGAAACAAAAAAACAATCAAAACAATGGAGAAGACCTGGTTCACCACCCCCTAAAAAAGGCTAAGTCGATTTTGTCGGCAAATAAGGTGATGGCTTCAGTATTCTGGGACTCGAAAGGTGTGATTATGATTGATTATCTTGAAAGGGGTCAGACTATAAACTCTGACTACTACTGCACCTTACTACGTCGTTTACGAGAGGAAATAAAAGAAAAACGTCGAGGAATGCTCAGAAGAAAAGTCCTGTTTCATCAAGATAACGCCCGTGTTCACACGTCAGTACAGTCAACGGCTGAAATTCACAACTGTGGCTTTGAAACGTTACCGCATCCGCCGTATTCACCTGATCTGGCACCATCAGACTTCTTTCTGTTCCCTAACCTAAAAAAAGCACTTGGGAGGTCAAAGATTTTCGATAAACGACGAGGTCAAAGCAGCTGTAGACGCATATTTTCTCTAAGGAAGAATCATTTTTTTTTCAACGGTCTAAATGCTTGGAAGGGGAGGTGGCAAAAGTGTAGTGAACTTGATGGTGATTATGTAGAAAAATAAAAATATAACTGATTTAGTATGTGTTTATTTTCTTGGTTAGGCCGAGTACTTTTCAATCCACCCTCGTACTACAGTTCTTTTTAATATATGTAGTACGTATATGGTCGGGTAATATGGTCATCTGGTAAATATGGTCACTTTCTTGTAACTCAAAAACTACAGCCTTGTTTACGTAGATGTCTTTGTGATACGATAGCTCTTCATCGGTCAATCAAATAATAAAGTGTCAAAAGCACGATGCTTTATCAACGCCATTTTGACAGTAGTAAATATTTTGGTTGATTTTAGTATAGTATGGTGTAGTGTAGTTAGGTTTTTTAATTAGATTTTTCGAAGTCTTCCTAATTATTGCAAAAGCTTGTTTGCTTAAGGCCGAATACGACGCGAATGACCTTGCTCGTTTCGCAGCAAACCACGCGCCGCCCGTACGCTTTGTTTATATAGACATGTATAATATAATCAAAGCCGTACGGGCTTTGATTATATTATATTTGACTGAGCTAGCTCAGTATGCAGAGTAATGAACAACACAGAGAGCATTGCTTACTTCTTAAATAAATCTTTTTTATTTATAATATTAGTTCCTATAGATTATAAATTCTGTACTTTATTCGTTATAAAATATTGTTCGAAAAGTTATTGAATTGATAACGGTTTTTTTTTTCTTAATTGGTTCATCGTACGTAATTAACCTCATATAACTGAAAATGTTTGTTCTTGTGAGTCTTACAAGATGCCGTAATGCAAATTGCATAAATAATAAAGAAAAAAAAAACTAAAAAGTCGGTGATTGCCCCATAGTGGGGATAGGTACTGTGTATGTAAATTCTCACAAGACTACTCCGACTGGTCAATCACTTCACATCCGAAGTATTTCGGTTTTTCTTAATTATGTACTTACCCCATGCTTTCGGACAATACAGTGACTATGACATTATTTGCGGTCTCTGTGCTTGCACTACTCTGTACATTCTTTTCCGACTGGGTCTTGATATTTACATTTTTAGTGTTTCTCACTTGAAACTAGAAAAGTATAAATGATTAGTTTGGCTAATGTAAATGAGTAAAAATGCAACCTATTAGGCAGCCTCAAACAAAAAATTACCGAGTACCTTACAAAAATATAAGTATTAACCTCAAAATACAACATTCGAGCAGCGTTCATGCGATAAACTCTCTTTGTTTTACCACTTAGGTAACATTTATTTCTTTTCCTACCCATATTTACATTTATAGTCACTTAAACGAGTATAAAACACTAAATTAACGATTTTCGCTACAGTCACATTGACTATTGTTACCTTACGTCACACGTCGAAGCGCCTGGTAATTTATTACGGCAAACTTTTATCTGGCAATATACGATATTATTATTAGGTGTTTTTAATTAAAACGAATTATGTTAATAAATAATATTTTGTATCGCAAATAAAGACAGCAGGCTCCTTCGGAATCACAATACAAACATTTTTACGTAAAAGAATTTTTCCTAAATTAAAATTCACAGAGTTTTGGAAGAACAATCATTTTTAAATATCATTTCTTAACATTTTTTTATTTGTTGGTATATTCATTTATTTTAAAATTTTAAAACTGCGGGCACCTTGTAAACCGAACAAACCTACAAAAATGTTTTAACGCTTAGAATTACTTCAGGTCAAAGTTGTAGTGAAGAGAAATACATTAAATTTCGCCAGTTCTCTTCGTATTCGGCCTTAATATATTCGTTATAGTATACGACTTTGTGTTTTTGTCTCTGTCCTTCTCCTAGTTTTATTTTTACAGGGCGGTAAAGCTTAAGGTGACCATATTACCCTCACGCACCTTAGGTAATACTTTGGCGGTGGTTCTATTTATACTTGGAATACATTTCCCCTAAGGGAGAAAAAGTAGGTAGACGACATTTTAACTGTTACCTTGAGCTTGTGATTACTCCTTATAATGTGTCAAAAAATTAAAATTTTAATTAAAAGTTAAAGCCGACTTCGAAAAAATAAAAATAATTAAATAATTTGCACACAACAGCTTCTAAAGTTGGGATCAGAATTATTCGATACGCTATGACTTAGCACTGGCTTCAGATGCTGTTATGTGGAAATAGTGTTATTCTTTTCAGTTCATAAACACGAAACTTCTTATCCTTTTAGTAATGTCACCACATATATTATTCAAGTAGAAATTGAAATAATACTAGTTTTTACTGAATTTATCGCGTATATTTTAACTTTTTGAATACCCTCCTGCCCGTGACCATGAGTGCTGTAAAGCGTTCGAAACGTCGGGTATTTAAAAAGTTAAAATATACGCGATAAATTCCGTAAAAAACTAGTATTATTTCAATGTGTAGTGTTCGCGTAAATATATGAAATCATCAAGTAGAAATTCTTTGTTTTCCCCCTTGGATAATATATGAGGTGAAACAAATTTGTCTTTAACCCGAAAACAAAAAGGTTCCACAAATTAGACTCGAACGTTTCAATTCCCGCAA